CATTGATCTGTCGAGGAAGTTTCATCCAAAACGGTGTTACGTTATGATACTACCAACACACAAGCATATCTAATATCGTGGTAGCTGCAGTACTAACTACAGCATAGTTGAACTCCAATGATTTATACCCATACAAGTACACTGTTTGTTTTATGCAAATTAAGTAGCGACGGTCGATCAAAACATAAAATATTAGATGTTTTCTCTCTCGAAAATTCAGCAACAATTAAGCTAGTTCTATATCTAATTATCTATACAAGCACCCCGGTTGTGTAGGCCTAATGAAACATGGTGTATTACCTAAAGAAGCTTCAGAAACTGCCACTGGAAATTGCTAGAATACACAGACAGTCAGATAGATAGATAGACAGACAGATATATATAGATAGGAAAAACAGACAGTTTTGGGGTATGTACATACTGTTTTAGAATCTGTGTTCATTAAACATTTATCTACAAAGCTAACACGAAACAACAAGTTTTTCCAAGATGTTTCAGAATATTCATCACATCATACTGTGATAAATCATAAACTTGTTCGAAACTGACTCCATTATATCAGCGAACATTTTAAGTAGCCCACAGGATCGGATCTTGTTTAAATACGATTGCTAAAAACGTTTCCATTTTATTGAAAATGAAATTACGTCTCTAATTTGATTACAATTTAAAGATATAATCTGAAACAGATAAAATACGATCACCTACGCAATACATGCATTGTTCCTAATTATTACGTCACTCATGACCCAAGGTGATCACCAAGGGCAAGCAAAAATGAAAATAGAACCCAGGTTCAAATACCTTACTCTTGTTTCAATGAAGAAAAAATGATGCAATTAGATAAAATGATCAGTGTTACTTTCAAGGCCGGATTGTGTGCATTACGGGGAGGGGGCTATATTGTTCAATATTAAACCTGATAACTCCCATTAATTATTACCTCATAAAAGACGATCTTATCCAATTTCACACTTATATTAATCTAAGTTTAAACTATTAATCATCCAACAAATAACTAACTTGGAAGAATTTTTCTCATTTCTTACAGATGATTTTTATCCAAAGATGGTTCCAATAATCCACTGAAACGATAGATCCTCCAACAAATAACTAACTTGGAAGAATATTTCTCATTTCTTACAGCTGATTTTTATACAAAGATGGTTCCAATTATCCACTGAAACGATAGATCCTCCAACAAATAACTAACTTGGAAGAATATTTCTCATTTCTTACAGCTGATTTTTATCCAAAGATGGTTCCAATAATCCACTGAAACGATAGATCCTCCAACAAACAACTAACTTGGAAGAATATTTCTCATTTCTTACAGCTGATTTTTATCCAAAGATGGTTCCAATAATCCACTGAAACGATAGATCCTCCAACAGATAACTAACTTGGAAGAATTTTTCTCATTTCTTACAGCTGATTTTTATCCAAAGATGGTTCCAATAATCCACTGAAACGATAGATCCTCCAACAAATAACTAACTTGAAAGAATATTTCTCATTTCTTACAGCTGATTTTTATCCAAAGATGGTTCCAATAATCCACTGAAACGATAGATCCTCCAACAGATAACTAACTTGAAAACATTTTTAACTTAAGATCAAACTACATCACCTCCAGATCATGTTAGATGAACCTGAATCTACTGATAACTCATCGAACGAATTAACTCAAGGTAATTATTCTAATCAAGTATAACTGATAATAAATCTAAACGTACGTAACTGATGATCTTCCAAATCCCATATACAATTTAATCATCAAATCTCATGTTAACTACAATATTCTGATAGCATCTAAACAATAATTATCTAACTTCTACATGACTGATAATTCATATGAAATATCACACAAACTACCGATAAACAAAACATTACAGTAAACCTGTATAAAGTTAGTAAAGAAAGATATGATAAAGATTATTATAAATTTTATATCTATGGTGTTTTTAGTCCATTACTTTAAGAGATCTAGTCTTATTCTTTCGTTTTACCATGGTCCAGGTTTAATGATGAAGGGGTGGAAATCCCCTAAACTTTTATAATTCAGTGACAAGTGGTGGATTGAATGATAGATTTGCTTCATATTTATAGTTTTAGAATCATCCGCTTCAATTCAATATCACACACTACAATCAATGATTCATTCTTTGCCAGTCCAAACGTTATACATCATAAAACATTATATATACTTTAGGATATATACATTTCACAGTATTTGTTATATAACAATATATTCACAACAATACACAAAGAAGCATTTAACACTAGTTCAACTTATCCATCACTGTTTACAAAATAAATAATAAGCGTAAGATAAATACGGGAGTGCTCCAATATGTTATGTGTTTAATTAGTATGATATTCCAGCTCGTCAGGAGTGTTTACAAACCAGTGCTTTTCGACATAAGCTATAACATTCGCGAAATCGCTAAGCGCACGCCAATTAACCCATCGCACCTGTAGCTCGGGGTCATCGTATGTTCGTGCAAATGGGCAATGCTTTCAGCTTCTATGGGCCAAGCGTGAAAGCAAAGTAAAATTACCATCTCTTCTATGATTGAAACGAAGCGTAACGACGTTCTCCTCATCCGACCTCATCAGGATTCCCTGCGCACACCTAATCTAATATTCTTACATCAGATGTTAATCTGGTCTTTCTAACTTTTTTTTTTTTTTTTTTCTTTTTGTATTTGTTTGCTGCGATCCACAAACACAGATAAACGCCAGTCAGGGACGCGGGAAGTGGGGTCCAGTAGTTGAGGGCATATTATGGGTTTTACGACTTTCGACACCTCCAACTTAAAAACAGTTTCTTCGCCTATGACGCTACAGATCGAAGTCTTAGAAAACTCTCTCTTTGCGTCTTTTATCCTTCTGTTTTTTTTTGTTTTTTTTTGCTAATGTAGACGACTGATGGAGTTGTGCGTCTTTTTTTATAATCACGACCATAACTGCGTTAATGGTCGTTTCAATATTTGTCATATCCAGGCAATAGTCCATAACGATGCGTATACAAAGTAATAATAAATAAGGCTCTAAATAAAAATGTTGCGAATCCTTTGGTTAACACATAAACCTATTCCAGTAAGTATATTGCCTTCAGCGACAAGTACCAGAAATAGGAAACATCTTCACGATTATTATTGTGTAGTTATTATTCTCAATGCGATTGAGACAAGCACGTTGTCCACAGTTTCAGTACTCAGAATATAATTGTTGTCCATGGTTTCAGTACTCAGAATATAATTGTTGTCCACAGTTTCAGTACTCAGATATAATTGTTGTCCACAGTTTCAGTACTCAGAATATAATTGTTGTCCACAGTTTCAGTACTCAGGATATAATTGTTGTCCATGGTTTCAGTACTCAGGATATAATTGTTGTCTACAGTTTCAGTACTCAGAATATAATTTAATATCGTCCATTTATTTTTAGCTTTATTGATTTCTGGAAGGTTTCTCAACTAGAAATTTCTTCACAAGTAAAACAACTCTAAATGAAATGCTCACAAGTGAATTTAATCCCCTTTAACACGGGTCATAATGTTCAAATACACTCTTCGAAATTAAGTCGGGTGTATTCATAACTGAATATACATAATATCTAGTTTGTGTTATCAAATTCAGTCTGTTTCTTTCGGTGCTTTTCCAGGTTTTTCGTGTCTTATATTTCTTTTCTTTTAATTTCGTAAAAATCTTTCAATCACAATTTAGGCCAAATATCGAATACTGTAGTTCTTTTAACATGCTTATCAAACACGTTTAAAAAAACAACAACGAAAAAAAAAACGGATGTGTCGCGAAGAAATCACGAAGACACTTCTTATATTTGATTTAGCAAGAAGACGACAGGCATATTTGTATATAGTCTTTTCTATGCTTGTTCGTCTGTTACCAATTAACGAGTATTCAGTTACAGTTGAAGAATTCTCCAACTGACTTTATTTCAGCTGATTAGCACTCTCATTGTTCTAGTTCCAGTTGACGAGTACTTATTGTCCTAGTTTCAGTTGACGAGTACTTATTGGCATAGTTTCAGTTGACGAGTACTTATTGGCATAGTTCCAGTTGACAAGTATAATAATAGGCTTAGTTCCAAGTGACAAGTACTCTAATTGCCCTAGTTTCAGTTGAAGAGTATTTGTTGTTCTAGTTCAAGTTGACGAGTATTTTAATAGCCCTAGTTTCAGTTGACGAGTACTTATTGGCATAGTTCCAGTTGACAAGTATAATAATAGGCTTAGTTCCAAGTGACAAGTACTCTAATTGCCCTAGTTTCAGTTGAAGAGTATTTGTTGTTCTAGTTCAAGTTGACGAGTATTTTAATAGCCCTAGTTTCAGTTGACGAAGCAACGTTTAACGCAAAGTCCACTTACTTGCCAAGTTCATACCTGTATTTCTATGTTGAAACACAAACTTTACGCTCGCAGTAATTATCTAATTAACTGACTGGCTAGGCAACTTGCAATGATTGCTTATTAACTAATAGACTAAATGATTTAGTCTAGCTTAACCCATTTTTTATACATGGCTGAAACTATTTCCTAAACTTTGAAGTCATTAAGGCCACGCCTCTTTCGTTACAATACACTTCCTCCTGCTTGACATCATTACAAATTTATAAAATCTTCTTGTAATGGTATTTTTCAACTGAAACTAAGACTATTATCATTTCTGTCAGCTGAAATCAGACGAACTAAGTCAAGTAAAATCAGTCCAATTAGGTTACTCGACAACTGAAACTAGATTAATTATAATACTTTTCCATTGAAACTAGGCCAATTAGTTTTGGTCAACTGAAACTAGACGAATTAGAATATTCTTAAACTGAAACTATGTCTGTTAGAATTCTTGATTCATTTGGATTATTCGTTAAAAACCCAGTTTACTTAGTGACAAATATATATATATATATATTTCTTTAATTTCAACTTCCACGTTTAGTATAACCAACGTTCATCGATAGGCTTAACTTCGTCATTGCTACAAGAAAACTCTGATTAGTGTGGTTTCAGTAATATGGTGAGTTGACTAGTGCACTAATATATGGCCTAGTTCCTGTTGACGACTATAAATATTCCAATTGGTCCTTAATAACTCTTCAGAATTTTAAGTATTATTTTTGTTACATCGACAGAAGAGTGAGTTATGTCAAACTACAAAGAACAGTTGTTAGGGTTAACGAGATGAATTTAGTTCGGAAACCGACTACATTTAACTTTAAGGACTTTTGATTGACTCAAACTAAAGGTCACACGACAGTAATGTACGTAATCAACAGTTGTTATCGAAATTTACAAAATTTAAGTTTTGTCAGTTTAGTGACAGTTCAAATGCTTATTGGTCATGTGACGTAATGATTCAAGTAAGTGTGATCTTTTTTTTCGTACTGTTTTTTAATAATCTGTTTCATTGCAGCTAAATTAGAACCTTTAAGGAATTTCATTAGTCTGTGAAAAACAATCCAGGATTTCTTTTGGTGGTCAGTTTAGACATAAGCCACCAGGACCTTTAAGACATCATACAATCATCGGGTTCATAAGGGGCTTCTTCTTTTAGTTTTGCAGAAGCTTTCTTGCTACTACGACGAATCAAACTGCGGCTACGTGGTTTTGCTCGATGACCCTCAGCACCTTCTAATGTTTCCATATTTGGGCTAAGAGTAGTCAGTAGCTTAGATTTTCCTCCAGAGGCATGAGCGCTGGAACGACGTCTAAGTCTCGTATCAGAAGGAAGTGGGATTTTGGCTAACTGAAGAAATCCTTTAAACAACTCTTTTATATTTACGTTGTCTTTAGCAGAACACTCCATAAGTTTGGTCCTAAGTCGAGGAAGATCACAGAAGATCCACTCGGCAACGTCTTCTTTGAGGATTTCGCGATTTTCTGGTGATAAATCAGATTTATTCCCCACGAACATCATGGGGATTTCCTGAAAGTCCTCTCGCTGTTCACGAATCTCTTCGAAACATTGTTTCATTGTGTCAAAAGAGGATGACTTTTCGATACTGTAAACAATCAGAAAGGCTTGGGCATTAGCAATGGATAATCGTCTCATAGCAGGAAACTGAAGATCCCCAGCGGTGTCTAGTAAATCCACTTTTAAGGTCATGGTCCCGAGGTCAAACTCTCGATAATGAAGGTCCTCAACTGTTGGTTGATGTTTTTCGCAAAAAGTGTTGAACAGAAACCTTTTGACAATGGCGGTCTTTCCGACCCCACCACCTCCTAAGACAACCAACCGAGCACGATATTCACTGTCGCCACTCATGGTTCTCACGACATTCAATGTCGCCACTCATGGTTCTCACGATATTCACTGTCGCCACTCATGGTTCTAAAAATGGCTGTGTAGACGCTACCTGCTGCTGTAAAGAAGAAAAAAAGAACAGATAGCCCATTCTGTAGTTTGTGCTTAACAACAAACAGAACAAACAATCGCCCTATACAAACTAAAATTATTATTTTAAATTGTGAATTTTTAATTCTAAGATAAAATACTAATATTTTAAGCTTTAAAGATCAGTTCTTTGTCAGTTTTTTTTTCTTGATTTTGTTAATTAAATGACTAAAGCCACAAACCGTTAGATCTAGACGTTAAGTAGAAGTCAACACATTTTCATGCACATGGAAATGGTGAATACACACTACTAGGCATGCACCGGTACCCGGCCGGGTATTGGGCTACCCGGTAATGGCTACCCGGGGGATTGAAAATGGCATCTAAGCCTTAATCTTTGTGGCAACTAACGTGGTACTGAAAGTTACAACCAATAATTGGTTTAGTTTAAAAAACAAAAAACAAAGACTGACCGCCTGCTGAAAGGTATTAGGGTTTGAGAAGTTGGGGCTAGGCATTGAAAGTAGAAAGTAAAACTTGAATGTTCTGTTGGTGATTGTTCGGTTAAATGTAATAAACGTGAATTTTGTTTTTGTTTCTAATTTTTGTGCACGTTGTTGTTGTTGTTTCTTGGGGGGCGAGGGGTTAACCCGGTTGACACCCGGCCCCGGCCGAAGCTTAATGAATGGATACCCGGACCCAGTATTCGGCCAAATTTTACTCCCCATGCACCCCCTACTCACTACTATTCTCACACGATTATCATCAAGGGCGTACTTGTAACAGAACTAGCCAACGGCCTTGGCAACGAACATTTAACGTTGATGACAATGGAAACAGTTAAAATAGTAAACATGTGGGTGTTAATCACACGAATAGACGTTTTTTCTCTTGGCTTTCCTTTAGAGCAATAATGAATTTTTGTTGGACCTGACTTCACGATTAGCTCCAGAAACAATATATTTCACCTTCATCGGAATGTTTTTATCTCGTCAATGTACAGTATTCTGTATTGTTATGCATGTCGATATAAACACTCGCATTTTTTTTGTAAACACGTTCTCCCTTAATTCAAATCGATTACATTCTCTGATAAGCCTTATATTTATAACGATTTTCTTTAATGAATGTCCAATACGCTTTCATTCGCCCATGACTATCGTATTTTTCTCCGTTTTATTCATTATTATTATTACGTTACTGTGCAGTTCGTTGTTTTTGTAATTTTGACTTTCCGATCTTTACGGTTAACTTTGTTTTCAAAACTTATTTTGTGTTTCTCTTTAGTTATTACTTTCTGTCGTAATCACGGAGAGAGAATTAATTAATTAAAACATCAATTAATTCTTAAACAAAATGAATTATAATCAATACTTTTTCACCGCATGCCCTTCCCTTGGCTCAGTGTTAACTTTGAGGACTTATAATGCTAAAGTTCGAGGTTTAATCTCTACAAAGGGAACAGCATAGGTAGCCCATACGTTTGCAGCTATGGTGTCCAAGCAGAATCCTCTGGATTATTAGTTTATTGTGTTGACATTCGATAGTTTCTCTTAAGTATGGAACCTTTAACAAGTTCTTTAGTTTCGCGTTGTGGTTTTAATTTTTTGTGGTCTATGAACAGTTTGTTTGTTAAACGCAAAGCTACACAATGGTCTATATCTGCCCACCGCGGGTATCAAAACCGGATTTTTAGTGTTACGAGCCCTTAGGCTTATCGTTGAGCCACCAGAGGGCTACATACGATCTGTTTGTAATTAAGCACAAAGCTACATAATGGGCTACCTGTGCGCTGTCCACTACGGGTGTCGAAACCCGGTTTCTAGAGTTGGAAGTCTGCAGACATACCGTTATGCCACTGGGGGTCTCTATATACGAATAGTACTCTGAAAATTAGAAAATCCCGCAAAAATTCATAATGTAATTTGGAAATTGGGTCGTTTGAAAACGAAATGATATTTACGATAGGTGCATGAAATCAAAACGGAAATATCGCCATTAAGTTTCCGCCTCGTGCATATCTGATGAGCGCAAACTTTGGGAAAATCGACAAAAAAATTACTTTTGGTGAAAAGTAATTATTTCTATTCATAACATCTGCGCCTACCCAATCCATACCCAGTGGCTCAGCGGTAAGTCTGGGAGCTTATAACGCTGACACTTAAGGTTCGATACCCGCAGCAAGTAGAGCGCAGATAGCCCATTTATGTAGTTTTTCACTTAACAACAAACAAAGAAAACCGACCTGACATCTGGTTTTGGGCTGGAATGTCAGGTATCCACCATAATTCTTGGTGTCTACTTGTCTACTTGTCGAATACTTTTCACTGAGTGTTGGTCTGGCATGGCCTGACAGTTGAGGCGCTCGACTCGCAATCTGAGGGTCGAGGGTTCGAACCACCGTCACTAAACCGTGGGGGCGTTATAATAACACAGACGATTCCACTATTCGTTGGTAAGTAAGTAGCCCAAAAGTTGGCGATGGATGGTGTTTACTCGCTGCCTTCACTCTAGTCTATCGCTGTTAAATTAGGGACGGCTAGCGCAGATAGCCCCTCGTGTAGCTTTGTGCGAAATTCAAAACAAGCCAATCCGTTGAGTAAACCAGGCATGAAATTACAAACACACACCAATACTTAATCAAGGTCGCGTTTCCATTTAAAATGATCATGCCCTAATCCGTGATTTACAGTCTCAATAAGTGTGCAGGTAGACTGAAGTCGTTGTTAAAGGCGACCATTATCGATGTTTCCGCTTGAGCTAAGCCTAGCGCTGACGTATCACTAATAGAATAAAGATATTGGAGCGTTCACCCGTTCTTTCGCTCGTAAAATTAATGTCGACACTTCCAGCGAACAAATACAGTAAGTAATTCATACCAGCTTTCTAAATGCCAAAACTCTTGAACGATAACTTTAAAAATATAATACTACTCACATTAAGTATGCTATTTGACTAATTGTCGTTTCTAATAAGCAGTAATTCCAAGAACTTATTAACTTTCAACAAACGAACTTGTGTGTATATTTTTAAACCCCATTTATAATAATAATGTCGCTACTCTAACAATTTCGTTTTAATTAATTCAAAACATATTTTATAATGGTATATCAAATGTGCAAAAATATTATAAACGTTCAACTTGGTCCGGCATGGCCAGGTGGTTAGAGCACTCGACTCGCAATTTGAGAGTCGCGGGTTCGAATCCCCGTCCCACCAAACATGCTCGCCCTTTCAGCCGTGGGGGCGTTACAGTGTGACGGTCAATCCCACTATTCGTTGGTAAAAGAATAGCCCAAAAGTTGGTGGTGGTGACTAGCTGACTTCCCTCTAGTCTTACACTGCTAGATTAGGGACGGCTAGCGCAGATAGCCCTCGTGTAGCTTTGCGCGAAACCCATAACAAACAAATCCTTCCACGTGCTCAGACAAATATTCGATCAATGATCAAATCTTATAAATTAATGATTTCATTCTGAGAGAAAAAGAAACAACCAAACGATATTTCAGTAAAATAAAATTTAAAAAACCTCCAGTTTGTAACCACGATTACTGACATTAACCTGAGTTACTATATATATTAAACTTAAG